TTTAAATCATACCTTGATTACCTACCTAATACAATATAAATAATATGTAAATAGTTGTTATGCTGTATTTATTGTATGTTTTCATTGTTGTATTATTTTTATGAGTTTTTTTCCAAATATTTTCAAGACATGGTTGTACCTGCAACTACAGAACCTGTGGATACAGAGGGCCAACTGTATCGCTGTAGTATTTCTGTCTCCAAATTATAAACTCCTTGAAGGCCGTAACTTAATTGTCACCATTTTAATTCAAACACTAAATGATACATAGTATTTTACATTGGTTTCATTAAAAAAATAACAGGAAAATTACAAAACAATCAAACTGTCTCCCATTACCTAGCTCAATTGGGAAGTGGCTACATTGAATCTTTGGTTGCTGAGGAGTATTGTAGAAATTGTTTCGAATTTACCAAAAACAAAAGCAAAGGCAATTAAGTGATTTACATTTTAAAGTGAATGTTAAAACTGACCAATAACCAATTTTATGATAAATTAAAGCAATATTTTTTACTTTATAATCTCTTAAAAAACAAAGTATGTTAGTGTTTCATTGCATTTATTTAATTGTATAACTACTTACCTGCTTATTTATTTTTGTTTCTTTAATGAGAATATCCAGTACAAAAGAAGTCTTAATTAAATTCAACTTTCTTCTTTTTATAGAACTAATGGGAAAGTAAACTGTCATAATTCTCTTGAAGTAAACTGTTCAAAGTATAATAACATTAACATTTTTCAAAAACATTGGTGAACTACTTGAGAGTTAGATACATCTTTCATGAAAACTATACCTTATTAAAAATAAGAAATCATTTTTCATCATAGTGAAGCATAAAATAATCACACATATATATGTACATATGTATACACATACACATGTAAGTGAAAGGTTAAGTAACCTTTGGCATATCTATGTAATGGAAGATTACACATCTAAATTTTTATAAAAAATAAAAATGAAAGGATATTTTTGTGTTTTAAAATTATATTAAGAAGATATATATTTATATATTGTGATTGATCAATCATAGGCAGACAGGGCTCCTACTAAAGGAACTAGATAGAAATACAAACTGTATCAAAATATTGCTTGTATTTTTTTCTGAGTGATGGGATTTTAAGTGTGTGTTTTGGCTTTATACTTTCTGACATTTTTGAAATTGTTTTACAATGAACAAATAATACTTAGAAAATGTTTAAAAAAGAGGTGCAGTTGTAAAATTTTCAAATAGTAGCAAAATGGAGAGAAGGTATTCCAGAAGGTATTCCAGGTATTTAGCTCCAAATGGGATCAAGGATGATACAAAGCAATTCAAGTCTTAGGCAATAGTCAGGTTAGCCTCACCTCTCTTTAGTGGAGAATTTTTACTGCAGCTAGAAGTCTTCCCCAAGTGAAAGCCAGCTCCCAAGCATTAACAAGAGCACTGAATTTATCATCGTGTAATTGTCAGAATGTGCCATTATTTTTAGGATAAAATGTAAATGCCTCAATAGCAAGAATTACTCCTTCAAAGTCTACATTTACTGAAAACCATCGAATTTATTCCAAATTGGACATATCCTAAGGGGAAACTACTTGAAATAGAATCTTCTGTTACTGTCTCAGGGTTCAGCAAAGTGTCACCAAAGATATTTTGTAGACTCATTTTCGAAGATGCATAGGTGAATTTCTGTGCCTTTAGTGTTATTTGTCTAAGTTTCTATTGTTTATTTCCCTGACATGTTTATCTAGCTAGGTAGCTGGCTATCTACCTATCTATCTATCTATTTATTTATGTAACATAAGTTCTTTCAAAGCTTAAACTGTGCAGTGTTGATATAGTAGTAAGCAAATCACATAAGTTTGCTGTCATCAAGAGTGGATGAATGCATTATAGAAGAAACTGTTGGCTGCCTCCCTCAGCAATTCTTTTCTTATTGTTTTATATCTAAAAGAAACAATGTTTCACAATAGAAACTGAAAATGCTAAGGTTTTACTTTTGCCTGGATTCATGACCTAGTTTGGGGAGACTTCTTAAAAAATTCTCTTACTTTATAAAAATAATGATCCTGAAAAACAGGTGCCTCCCTTATCTATTTTGACTTTCTGCACATGAAGATACAACATATAGATCTTCAGCAACCATCACGATATGACGGGGAACCAAAGCTTCGAACAAGTCAACAAGTTAAGGATTATGATATGGAATGATTGGGATTGGGAGATGATAAAAAATAAACCTGGGTCTTGTTGACAGCATTGAGCTACTGAATAAACTCTAAAATTGTCATGTTTCCAAACCCGCTGTTGAGTTAACAAAAATATTTATTGTGAAATAGCTTTTTTAGGAGGAGTATATGCTGAAGGCATCCTATTTCATGCAACTTTATGCTCCATTCATGTATAGTTCTCTCGATTTCATATACATGTGCTCCTCAAATTGACATTAAATAACAAGGTTTACAAACATAGGTCTCATTTTTCAAGTCAAAAATATTTTGAACAAATTCTTATGGAAGTAATATCTGAACGATGATAAGTTAGTAATCTACAGTCAACTGGCATATTGCAAAGATATAAATCACTGAACAGTACTGGATCTTCTCATTCTCTTCCCCCAATTTTTTTTTTCTAAAACTTTTCAATTTGAGAAATAAAACTCAAAGCCTTCCAAAAGCCTCATATGATCTTCTATCTTTGTGTAAATCAGTTTAATACCTGTAACTCATAAGCTCTAGGAAACTTGGATTTGTTTTATAACACTTCTGATTTTACTAAGTTAATTTATAGAGAACTAAAAATTTCTTTCCAAATAAACACATACACATACACACACATTTTGTTGTTAATTTCAACTGTTTGTTATTGATGACTATGAACAGCTCAGGCCAGCATGAATGTAAGAGTTAAGATATCCTGAGCTCAAGAGTCTAAACATGAAGGATTAAAGGTGGAAAGCAAATGTCTTAGGTTTCATACTTTATCCTATGTTTCCCACAAAATCATCTGAGTGCTGGGAGGTGAGGGTTAGTAAGCATCACTGAGAATTAATGCAGAATGTGCTTGGGAGGCTAGGGAATATCTTATTATAAATGAAGCCAAAGAAATGGCAGGCAGCATATTGATGAAAGAGCAAATTATAAGATGTACCCAGATTCATTCCTTTCATGGAATGAGTGTTTAATAAATATTGGTTGACATAATAGGAACACTTTCCTATGACTCTAAGCCAACGGTAACAGTACTGACCAAGAGAGAGGTCTTTTCTTTTAGTTCTCATTAGAAAAATTCCAGAATTTCCCTACCATTAAATAAAATATGGATTCATTCCTCTTTAATGGAAAGAGGAACAGATTGAGCTGATCGTTACATGAAATTGTTTTTAAAAGTAAATGTTACATATAAAATAATCCACATTTATTTTTACTAAACAAATTATCATTCCTGCTACTAAGAGCCTAATGCTCTGTCACTTTACTGCACTTGGCAAGGTAGATAGACAACCAGTAAAATTAAAAATACCTGTGTTTTACCTGCCCAAGGGAGAATAAAGTATCTGTGTTAGTTTTATTTTTGCTGCTGTAACAAATTATGACAAACTTAGTGGCTTAAAAGAACACACATTTATTCTTTTCCAGTTCTGGAGGTCTGGAGCCTGAAATGAATTTCATGGAACTAAAATCAAGGTGTTGGCATGAATGGTTCCTTCTGGAGGCTGTAGGGGAGAATCCGTTTCATTAACTCCCCTCCCCCTGCTTCTGTGATCATGTAGCCTTCTTCCTTTGTCTCGCTCTTATAAGGACTTATGTATATAATTACATTTAGAACATACCTGGATAATAAGGACAATCTATCTCAACATCCTTGACTTAATCATATCTTCAAATACTCTTTTGTCATGTAAGAGAACAGTGACAGGTTCCAGGGATTTTACAATTGGATATTTTCGGAGGACCACGATTCAAGTCTACCATATCCATAGATCGCAGCAGTTGCTTATTTATTCATAAGGTTTTGACTGGATAGTCTTGTAAAGGAAAGTATCGCCAACCAAAATCAATTAGTAATGAATAAAGATGATGACTCGCCCCCCCAAAGAGGTTGTATTATTTTACTTAAGGGTGTGTGAGCATTCTTCTGCCTCATCCTGGGTAATATTTAGCCATTCTAATAGGTATGTAATGAAATCTAATTTTTAAAAAATCTCAGCATATTATGGGAGATAAATGTTTAGGTTACATATATTTCCATTGCCCCACCCAAGTCAGAAGTTCAAGCATGTCAATCCTTCAGAAAGTGCACACCGCACCCATTAGGTATGAATTACCCATCCCCACCTCCCCGCCCTGCCACCTGCCTGACACCTGATGAATGTTATTACTATATGCGCACATAAGTGTCAATCAGTTAATACCAATTTGATGGTGAGTACATGTGGTGCTTGTTTTTCCACTCTTGCGATACTTCACTTAAAAGAATGGGCTTCAGCTCTATCCAGGATAATACAGGAGGTGCTAGATCACCACTGTTTTCTGTGGCTGAGTAGTAGTCCATGATATACATATATCACATTTTATTAATCCACTCATGTATTGATGGGCACTTGGGTTGTTTCCATATATTTGCAATTGTGAATTGTGCTGCTATAAGCATGACTCTTAATAATAAAGAAATTTATGCAGGGGTTTCTGGAAGTCAAGACTGTGGGTCAGCAGTGAAACTCATCACTGGAAACTACCTCAACAAATGCTCTAATTTATGTAAATATTCCAAAAGACAATATTTCTCCATGTTGAATTAAAGTAATTGAAGTTATAAAGGATTTTAAACACTTTGGAATGAGGCCTACCTTTGATTAAGAATGTACCCCCAAAACATGCACCTATCTTGGTGAATAAAGTTGGCAAGAAAAGGAAAGCATCTTCAATTCAGTCAAGTACAATTAAATTTAAAAGAAATAATGGTTTTGGATAGTTTATATATTGAGTAGCAAAATGGAGGAGGAAAGATGCTCACCTTAAATAACAAATCCTTCTTCCCATAACGAAGTTCCTTCAGGTGGGCTTGGATTTTTTTTGACTGCAAAAGCAGAAACATGAATTAGTGCCTTAATTCATTCATATTTTCAAACTTGAAGACTAAATTCTTGCAGACTGAACAATAATAAATTTGCAGCCAAGCAAAACAGAGACCAAATACTTTGGAAGTAAAAACAGAAAAAAATTAAACTCTGCTTTGAGAGTGGAACATTCAGATATCCTAGGCAGAAAGGAAAAAAAAAAAAAAGCCTTTTCAAAAACATCATAGTTTTAAACGTATTATTTAAAGAAATTTAAAAAAAAAAAAAAAAAAGCCTTTTCAAAAACATCATAGTTTTAAACGTATTATTTAAAGAAATTTGCTTATTGTTCTTTTCTCACACCACATCCAAACACACAGAGTGATTGTTACACAGACATGGACAAAACTTTAGGTTTAGATGCTAAATACACCTGTGCATATGAATGCCTCCATTTTCACTGTTTATTTTCAATTACTTATTTTTTAAGATTACACATGGGTAAATTTGGATTTGACACATATCCAAGGTGAAGGCAGCAATCAAACAGGAAAGGAGGTGAGGAAAGCCACTAGAATTGCTAAGATGCTAAAGTGAATGGCGTTTTTAAGACTGAATTTTAGAATTCACTTTTTAATACTGCCATCACAAACATAAAAATGCTTAACAAAGAAATCTTTCCCAGAAGACATGTTTGGATACCACATTGGATCTTGTTCTCCTAAGACACAAATGATCATGCATTTCCACTTATCCAGATCAGTCTCAATGCCCAACATTCTATTATAAATATCTGTTAATTATATCTCTAATTATATTTCTTATGTAAAAGGTAAGATTATGGGTCCTGACTCTTTACTCAGGAGAAAATACACACACACACACACACACACACACACACACACACACACACACACACACA